AAACCACTATTTGAATTAATAAATTTTCCATGATTTCACAAATTAATCAACTCTGCCTCATTTAAGTATGCATTAGTTTCCTTTGTGTCGAAAATTTTTAAGCATTCGATACAAGATGTAATTTTTTTCATGTTTTTCATAAATAGTCAGTTAGATAATAGATAATCGTATTTATTATATTAGAAAATGCATAGTCATGATCTAAATTAAAATTGTGAAATTTTGTAAATATTTAAAAAAATTAAAAATGATTTAAAATATTTTATCAAATTTATATATGATTTCTTCTTGTAGTGTCGGTCACTAAAAATCTGAGAAGTGTGCTAATTGAAGCGGGACAGGGCTCGTATACTTTTATTTAAAAAGTAAACCTTGTCATAAATGAAATATAAATGATTATTAAATTACTTTATTGAAATATATAATGTAAAACAAATTGTCATACTGTTTTTCTGAAATCGGGAGCTTCGTCAGGTTTGTTACTATCTGCTGCTAACTGTAATGCATACAAGCGAACATAATAAACCTACTTATTGAGTACATTAATATGGAAACCCCATAATAAATCTGGAAACTATACATTTGAAATTGTCCTACTTATTTTTTCATTACTGCTATTATCTAATAGAACATTTTCCACAAATGAATATAAAGAAATAATTAGTAAAATTATAAAATGAGTTCCAATGAACTATATTATTAATTTAAATAAAGTATGTAAAATGTAATAGTGGGAAATGTGTAAATTGTATTTATTTCTTATTTTAAATAATTTTGTGTGTATTGTTAATTTTCTTTCTAATGTAAAATTAATAAATTAATAATTTTAACAAAAATTTAATAAAATGTTTTATTTGTGTTAGAATCCGAATACAATAAGAACACTACTGTGTCATAATGATTACTTTGAATTTCAAATACATAGTATCTATAACTTTTCAATGAATAAAGAAATATTAAGTTGTCATGTATAAAAAAATATTTCCTATATTCCTAAAAGATTAACCCCCAGGGGATGTGGATAACTTCGGTAACTGTATCAGCAATACTTTCCACATTCTCATCTCCTTTGAGAAGTAGTCCCATCGTAAGTAATGAAAGCAGGAACAGCATTTTTTAGGTAGTTTTTTTTTATATTTGCGCTGCACATTAAATAATTGTAATCTTGTAATTGAAGGGTCTGGAAATGCACCATTCTTGTTCTGATAGTTGAAATCGTATCATATAGTTGCAAGGTTATCTTTAATTATTTGGAACCAGGGAATAAGCATATTGAAATAACGTTTACTTTTAATCATCTATTTACCAATTTTTACATCGATTAAAAATCCCATAAAAATAAAAAAATTCTGAAGATTTTCAAGTGATACGATCGTTATTTTTAATGTCAATAATACCTTTCAAAAGTGATATTTAGAAAATTAAAATGTTTGCCAAATTCTAGACTTCAGTGCAGAGTGGTGTGAATATGCGCATTTCTAGACCCGTCAATTACAAGATTACCTTAAATAATTATTAGATACATTAGAAAAAAAAATTATTTAAATTATTAACCAGTGTATATACAAATTATTTAATACACAAATCACCAACATCTCCGACCCCGAACTATACAGTATGGTTCAAATGAAAGGAATAAATTCATTATATTGGAAGTAGCTGGTTTTTCGAAAAAAAGCTCGGACAGGTCAATTTTGTTTACTCAAAGCGCAATTTTTTAAATAGAATTCAATTTTCCCCCACTTCCCATTTTTGGGCAGTGACGTCATTGACAATTTTTTTAAATGGTAACCTCAATTTTTTTTTTCTTGATTTTGATAGATCTTGCAATTTCCTACTCGGAAACATAATATTTGAAATATCTTACATAACAATTTTTTTTGAATAGAAGACATTTAAAGATCAAACACATAAATTTTATTTTATTTTGAGAACACAATAAATGAATAAAAGATAATTATTTGTAATTAAATGCTTAATCTAACAAAATAATAATAATAAAAAGAATTTGTGAAATTGTCATTAAATTCTTTTTATTATTTTTATTATTATTATTATTATTATTATTTTAGATTAAGCACTTAATTACAAATAATTATCTTTTATTAATTTATTGTGTTTCAAAATAACATAAAATTTATGTATCTGATCTTTAAATGACTATGTATATGAAATTTATATCATGAACACATTATATTGGGTCCAAGCTTAGGGTCCAAGTCATAACATTATTAGTACCAAGGAGAAAGGATAAGTAATACTAAATATTATTTATATGTATAGTAAAACTTTATGCTAATAATTCTTTTATTACAGAAAAGACAAAGTTGAATAACCTATTTACATAACCTACAATTATTTAAAACGTAGATATTTAACATATTTACTTAAAAAATAACGTTTCCTAGTAGATTTCTTAGCACTTTTTCACGGATAACATAATTTACATTAAAGTGTTTTTACAAATGGAACTTTTGGGTTCATTGTTTATTTTCGTACCACCAATAAATAATTTGCACCATATTCTGTAACTGTTTTTTGGCATTATAAAACTGCTATTAATATGTTGAAGACCTCACCCATAATCACAATTAAAAACAGCACAACGATTCACCATGATTTATTATTTATTTTAAGATTTTAAAAAATATTTATCTGTTAACACTTCAAATTGTAACTTCTACTTTTATCTTTTATTTACTTTCTCGCCGGATAGACACTAGCAAACCTAGCGGATTATGGCTAGGAAGTACGCCAGGTTTTATCACCGTTTTCATTTGTTTTTAAATGGGAGTTGATGCACCTTATAGTCCACCGTGGCCTCTCCCACAAAGTATAGATACTGGAGTCTAAACGTAATGTTGAATGAATGTCATCAATTTGGGGAACAGAATTGTTGCCGGTAGGATGCGCCACTTTTGAAGAAGTACTCGTTTAAATATTTTTTTTGTGTCATCGGCATCAACTGCTACGGTTGTTAGCCTCGTGTTCTGTGTAGGCTTTGTTACTGTTTCCCAGTGCCACTTTAGGAACAGCACTGATAAGTAGTGCCCAACAGTGAATGGTCGAGTGGAGAATCCTACCAAGGCATCATAATTAATTTGAAAATTAAACAAATTTTATTTAGAGGTTACTCACTTTCGGTGCTTTGAATAAAGCCACTTTTCCTAAATTCTCATTTGCCTATCGGAACGTCCTGAATATTTGCGCAGCCAGTGGCAGAAAAAGAACTAAGATCTGGGTTTAATATTTGTGTACACGAATCCTACAAAAAAGCCTATTCGCTCCGTGCGAAGTCATGGAAAGGGAAGCAAAAGCGATACTAGGGCTAGCTGCGGATAATTCGTGCATTTTAGGGTGATATTCTGTAATTTTCGCATATCAAATACACGTATACATTTTACTTTTTTTCAAAAAAGTAGGTAAAAACAACACAATAAGCAACCGGAGTTGCTGTGTTGAAAATTGTACAAATACTAGCAAAAAACAGTGAAATTTAAATACAAAATTTCACTAGCAAAGTGGAAATTAAATCAAAGAAATAAACGGATAAGTGTACAATAAGACGAAAAATTACCTTTATTTTTGTGATAATAACAGTAATGCTGGAACTAGTAGACATCAGAAACTTGAAAGGTTTTAAATAAACAATAAATTATCATTTAACGATGTTCTTTAATATCCCTTTATTCTTAAATGTTCATTCAGCAAGGACTAGATTTCAAGATTTCTGCCTTTGATTATAATATGAGGCGGGAATGCAATTTTGTGACTGATGGGAAACCAGCTTTAATCATTCATTCTGTTTTCTTTCGAACAAAAATGAAAATATAAATAACGATCCATTTTTATACATTTTAACTTCACACTATTATTAAATGGTATTTTTTTTATTTTGACAGAATAGGCTAATTCTTCAATAACAACTTATTAGACTTAGGCAACTTCTCATACATTTTCCAGTAAATACTGTTGCCTGCCTATATTTTATTATTGATTTTTATTGATTATAGATAATTTTCTTTAATTGAAGCGGGAAAAATATATAATAATAATAAATTAATGTTCTACTAGTTTTACAAATCCATATACTTTTATTAAAACTAACATATATACTTTTTATTTACGAGTTCTATTAAAAATTGTATTTGTCAGTATAGGCAGAAATAGTCCTTTAATGCCAAAACAAATTGGCGCTGCTGTCGCGCACGGAGCGAATATACCGTTCGGTCTCCTGGTATCTATACTTCGTGGCCTCTCCACTAACATCTTTATAAACAGTCAAGCGCACAACATGCGTTTCTAGTAGTAAGAAGGGACACTGCAGGCCATTGCATAAAATAAAAATCAATTCAGCTTAAGTAATAAATTTCCCAAAAAATGTAATTGTAATAATGTAAAAAGTAATTTAGATGTCAATAATGTCATAGTGTTAAATTAAATTGATTTTTATTCGGTGTTAAAATAAAATGTGTTCAGTAAGAGGTGGCTTTTGAATCTAAGTATCTACATCTCTAGGATTTCATGGATCACATATGTATTCAAATATTTTTTACTAATACAGTCTGCTATTAGTAATGGGTCAGATCGGCCCTATTTATATGTAGCGTGAAACATTGTTTAAGCCTGTACATGAGTTTAACAGCTACAATTCTTATACATTTTTATTCCTTTACCCATCTATTTCAATCTAGCGTAGTTATAATGACTCTTTCATGTACAAAATAAGCCTGCAGCTTCAGTACAAGTGGGCTTTAAAAGTTTAAAACACGCCCTAATTCAGATGAATTGAATGCACATTCCAAAAATCTCCACACCATAAAAACAAAAAACCCTCCTTAAGCACACAATGACTGGAAAATTGAACTTATGACAAATATTGTAGACAGAAGATATCTGAGCATAGAAGATTTATTTAAGGAAGGAAAATGCTCTGAAAATTAGTATTTCGTATTAGCTATTACGATAAAATATTCCTTTTTGGTCAATGAGTGAGAGGAAGAATCAGTTAATCTAATGTTTTGACTTGAATGCTGCTATAATTAATTTTAAATAATTCTAGTGGCATTAAAGGTATAAAAGCTACTTTTTCAATTAATAGGTCTGATAAAAAGAATTATAACCATTTTAAGAGAAACGAGTAATTTCAAATTATAGAAATAACTAAGAGATGATTTGGTCTTGGTGCACTGTATAAATGGATAACAATTCAAAATAATTGCCACAATACAATAAATAGTAATTCGTCAATTTATTATGTGTATTAATTATACAATTAACATTTTTAATTATTTTATTTATTATAAACAGGCTTACATGGATAACATTACAACTAGATAATAAAATATCTAAATAAAATCATATTTATGAGCAGATTAAAAAAAAATATCTGCTATGATAACGTGTGATACATAATTTTCATTAAACAAGTAAAAAATATTTTAGTTTTTAAAATTTATGAAACTGTTTTAAACAGTAAACTGAGAGAAATCAGATTGATCTAAAAATTAAATTTACCTACAATAAAGTACAACAAAAAAAAATAAACAAAATTTTACGCAATGGCTATGACAGCATCAGTAGCAATTCCACATTGATTGTTTTTATTCCTTGACATCCAGACGTAGCCTTTTATTCCCCAATCTTCTCCCCAAGAATTTTTCACAATCCAATAATCTTGACCATGTTTAGTTCCGTATCCAACAGCCAAAACGCCGTGATCTAACGATTCTTCTGAATTTTCGCAAGAATCATCATCGAGAACACCTAAATTGAAAAATCACAATAGACATTTCAACTCAAAGAGATGATTATTTATTTATATACAGACGCCACTATAGGGATTAAGACGTTATAATATTAAAATTCTGATTATTATTTTATTAAATAATTACCTGATGAGTACAATTGAAAATTCCAAGATGCATCTATAGCAACAGAAACAGGTCCAACTAAAGCAACTTTCTGTTGAAGATCATTTTCATCGCCAGATTTTATTTGAGTAAAAGACGAAATTTTAACAGCCACCTCAGAGGAATTAAAACGGCATTTCTCGTCTTCTGCTTTATAGGGATATTTATCTTCGGCCATAATTCCATTTTTCTGTACGTATTTTAGTGCATCAATCATATATCCTCCTCCACAACCGTAGCAATCAGAATCACAGTCTACCAGATTTTGTTCACTTAATGAAATTAGTTTACCAGTTTTGATAAAGTTGGCTCCTTCTATTGTGCCAGTCTAATGAAAAATAAATAAAATTATTGTTTCAATTATATCCAGGTTGTAAATGGCTATAATTATTTTTAATAAATTTCACAGAAAAGTTACTTACTGCACTGAAAGACCAACATGACCCACATTGTCCTTGATCTTTGATTTCGGTAACTGCTCCTTTCTTGCTCCAATCTACTTCAGCTGGAATATCTTTTGTATCGTCGAATTTTCTAATGCTTCCATAACTTTTTGGCTTCTGTCGCTTCGATAACTTCATCATGTCTTTGAACTCATGACGAGTGAGATCTGCAAATTTGGTCACACCCATTCTAAAAGATGAAAAGCCTCGTTCTTCCTTTGTATTATGTGATTCAATTCTACGTAAGTTGGACTGGAAAATTGAGAAGCGTTTAATTTCTTCTATTGAACTTTTGTAGATTTTTCCATGCTTTGCCTGTAAAATGCAGATAAAAAAGTTATTGCCCTGGAAAATATTATTTACTTTTAATGAGCAATTAAATTTATTTTTTAAAAAATTTATTTAAATTTGAGTAAATACCTACGTACACACTACAGTGTGAGTTAATTTTCCAGAATATGAGTTAAGGTCAATCGATTAATCCTCATATTACTGTTAATACTTACATTTGAAGTAGTATTTTAATGTTGGTATAAGATAAAATGCTCGAAATACCTAATAGGACTTACTTTGAAATTGATCCACTCATCTTTGTCAGTAAGTGCCTGAGAAGTAGCAATTATAGCAAATAAATATAGAAATAACTTCATCTAAAAATGTACATAGTCATAATTTATTTAAAACATTATATAATCAAATACATACCTTTAATATTATATCTAGAAATATTATAATTAGTATTTTATTTACATCAAAAAACTGTGCTTGAGACAAGATTTGAGACTGATGTTCTCTTCTGAAACCTTCTGCTTTTATATCTAACATTTAATTTTTTTTATCGAAAAAAATATCGTTTCTTGCAAAATTCTGCATTTTAAAAATATATTGTGAAAAGTGTGATGTGTTTACCAACATTCGTTTGTTTCAATTATCTAAGTCTTGATCTTAAAGATTATTTATAAATAATAAACAGATAGTAGTTGTTTCTTAAATTATTTCTTGCTTTTGTTTACGCATATTTGAATAAATTTAAGTTCGTGTCGCTAATACCGGACAAGGGTTTGCAGGATTTTTCCCGTAAAGACGTGCCGCAAGATGCTGAATCCCGGCTGTCTGTATACAAAAGTATCCGGATACAAAAGTATCCGGATACTACCCAACTCTGATGTGGCCAAAAATTCAAATATGACAAAAATATCGAAAAAAATATGGTTTAAATATATAAAAATTATTAAGTAATGTGTTATTTATTTATTTATTTATTAAAAAAAAAAATACAACTTTGTATATTTTTATTAAAAACGTGTTACTTATTTAAAATAAAACAAATTATTTAAAACTCTTAATAAATTGTTGTACGCTTATATTCTTATATATTTTCCTTATTTCTTCCTTTGTTTCTTTGGATATACTATACGGGTTAAAACCTAATAAAGTTATTGACCCGAATAGGATGAATTCCTTTTTAACATTTTGAATATCATCCTTCTTCTTCTTTTTTAGTTTTGTATGGGCTCAATCCTTGCGAATTATTTACCCAGAATATGTTTTTCTTTGGTTTTTAATTACTGTAAAGAATTACGTCGCGACGCGTCTGACTTGTTATCATCACCCTTTCCAGATTTGCTAGAATAAAAATTATAATGTAACACGTATATCTTTAAAAAATGCATTAAATAGCGAGAAACTGCAAGTTGTTAGGTTGTTAAGCATGTTATCTACATTTAAAGCTGTTATTATTGCATGCAAGCATATCAAAGTAAAATCTATTTCTACGCTGATAGTCATTTCTACATTCTAATAATATATGTTGTAAGCTGCCTACTTCACCACATTCACATAGGGGGGACTCTTTTACTCCAGTTCGAAATAGATGTTCTGGTGTATTACAATGTCCCATTCTCATCCTGCAAATGGTAGAGGTAATTGATCTATTCACGTTGATTTCGCAAAACCAAGGTTTGACCGGGATTTTGCCTATAATTTTAAATAAATGTTTACCTTTTGTATTACATATTTCGCTCCATTCTTCTTCCCAACATTTCTTTATGTCCCTCTTTAGAATATTAAATATGTCCTTGTGTTCTATTTTTGTGTAATTAATTTCTCCCTCCTTTAAACTTTCCTTGGCCAGCCTATCTGCTTGTTCATTTCCCTTGATTCCTGTGTGACTTGGAATCCATCCTAATTCTATTTTGGTATTATATTCTTTCGCCTCTAGTAGTGCTGTATTAGTGTTGTATTAATTCCCATTATGGCAATTTTTTGTAACGAGCTTAATGAGTCTGACAATATTAGTACATTCTTGGTTTTTTGATGGATTATTTTACTAATTGCTGTGTATATAGCCAAAGTTGCAACTGTGCAGATGTTGGTGTCATCTGCTACTGGACTTTTCATGCTGCATGTGATACCTTTGTCTACCAGGTATATACCAAATCCAGATTTGTTATCTATTACTGAACCGTCAGTAGACAAAGAAATCTTTGGATGAGACCTGTCATGCAGTGTCGCTGTTTGAAAAAATGTATTTATTCATACACGAAAACTCTATTCTACAAAATCAATGCATTTGTATATTTTCTTGCAGAGGCAATAACTTTGCCATTTTAACTGTAGGTAAAGTAACAACAAGCGCAAACAGTGTGAGTTAGGTTTGTTCAATTTAGTCGCTCTAATACCATGTCGTAGTATAACTATTAGAAGAGCGGAAAAATTTTAAGAATCCTGACAAAAAGAATCGCTACTACAAACCACATTTTATATATTTGAGAAATTATGCCTTTACAGAATATAGCACCAATTAGTCTAACGAACAGTTATTATCGAATCACATTTAATAATCTAGAGGTCTTATACAAGTTAGGGTGCCCAACAGAAAACATTTTTGATATACATACCCTCACCAAACTTCGTTTATGGCTTCATTGTACCTAGTCTGATACCAAATTACTCTATGACTTTTTTTGTTTTTGGGGCGTTCCTGAAACATATTATATTATACGATATATAGAAAATGTATAGATACTCTATTTTTTTTTTCAAATTAGACTTGAAAACATGAACTGTATCTTGAAAATTAAATTGTCTAATAATAAATGTGGTTCATTGCAGGGGCGGTTTCTCCATCGGTTCATTTGTGCAGTGAACACCCAGTTAAATTCCATAAAACACATTATTTTAAAATAAGAAACATAAATTAAATAAGGATAATTTCCTGACCGTAGTAGAATTTTATATAAATAAAAATTTCCTTGGTTTATTCGGTCATGTTTTTATTTTTTATAATTTAAGCATAAGCACTACATATGTTTTAAATGTTTTTTTCCATCTTCTGGTGCAGTCAAAACTTATTGAAACATGGGGGACGATAAAAAAGTTTAAAATTTTTAAAATAACAGAGACCCCCATCTTTCTGTTTCACAGCGTGTATTTACAGGTGTATTCGGAATAATAATTTGGTTTGACAAGATAAAGTAGGAAAACACAAAGATGAGTTTTTAGAAAATTAAAAATGACCAGTGTCGTAACAGTTAAGGATTAAAAAACTTACAAATACTTAATAATATTTAAATAAATAAAAAAAATTAAAAAAATAATAACTCTGTAAATAAAAAAACGGACATAAAAGATTTGTCAAATGTTTATTTTAATATTATTTAGTAATTGTAAGGTTTTTAATCCTTAATTGTAACGCCACGGGTAATTTTAAATGTTTAAAAACTTATCTTTTTGTTTCCCTACTTTATCGTGTTAAACCAAATTATTATTTCGAATACACCTACACACGCTGTAAAACAAAAAGATGTTATTTTAAAAATTTTGAACTATTTTGTAATCGTCCCCCATGTTTGATTAAATTTTGACTACATCAGAAGATGGAAAAAAAAATTCCGAAATTTATGTAGTGCTTGTGCTTAAATTATAAAAAAATAAAAACATGACCTAATAAAATAAGGAAATTTTTATTTATATAAATATATAAATTCAATTTTAATTATTTTATTGTTTTCTTACGTGTTAATCTTTATTTTTTGGTATGCCACTGAACTCTGGCTAATTGCGTCTCTTTGGCTCACTTTTCTTAGTAAGCCTGAGCGAGCAAGATGCTTTCGCGAAAGCCTCTAGCTAAAAAGAGTGGTCAACACGTTGAGAGATCCGTAAAACAAACAATGACCTTCGTAAATTCACCTTATTTTACGCATCACACACAGTAACGTCACAAAGTAGGGCGGGGCATACGAAGCTTTCAAATTATATATATAGAATAAAAGTGATGCAATGACGGTACTAAAAGTCTCTAAACTCTTGCAATACCCTTTTACCACATATGTCAAGCATGAGCTAGTCAGTTTTAGTGAGAATGAATGCCATTTTTTTAAAAAAGCGTGATTTAAATGATATAAAAACAATTTCATTCCGTCAGTTTTCAAATATAAAATTAATTAAATATGACTCAAAGTGCTTCCATTTGTTATATCACAAAATAGTGTTTATGTCGTCTATACCTACTTCATATTCTATCTTCCCAACGTTTTCAACTTTCCAATCAAGCTGTTAAATTATAAAAATCAACATAAGACAATTTTAATTGTGTATTGTATTTATTAAAAATTAAGTTTAAATAAAGCTGCGATTTTAATAAATCGGAAGTATGTGTGTCAATTCAGAGATTGTAACCGAAAAACTTCTCAAGTAAAAAATTACTATTATTTTTGAGCTTATGTTTGTTTATTTTCAAATTACGACTGTAATTTATATTTTGTTTTTATTCCAAGGTCTACAGAATAGTCATGTGTTTAATACCTAACTATGCATTGAGCAAATTTTGTTTTTGTTTTCTACAAAAGACAAACGAAGTTTCAAAAAAGTATGACAATTTTATTATATATTTTATTAAGTGCCAGTCTTCTTACCTCTGAGTAAAGTTAAATTGAAAAATGCCCTATCTATAAATGCTATAGGTACTGATAAACAGTGTCAGAATAATGTAGCGCTGAGGATTTTATAAACTTACATTACAGTTTTTTAAAGAAGATATATAAATATTGCACTATCCTAAATTAATTCAAGAATCCTAATAGTTGTATCTATGTTAGGTATGTACCTATATCATGAAGACTAAATTAAATATTTATCGAAGGTAAACTGAACTATGTCGACATAATGCAGTTTTATAAAGGTTTTATTTTTCAGGAGTATATTATACCATGTACAGTTTGTCAAATTTCTAGAGGCTTTCGACGGCTAGACAGAGAAAGCACTACTGACAGGTATCCCGACGGATTTACGCAATGAAAGTACACTCTGCGCATCAAGTATTTCACTATTTCATTCAGACGTAAATGTCAGATGTAAATTTCACTAAAACATTTCTTTTATTTTCGTTTGTGTTTTTTGCTCATTACAGTTTAATAGAACCTAAGTATGGAGTTTAATAGCAAATTAAGAGGCCGCGTGATTAACAGTCAATCTCGCGAAATAATAGCCAATGTTATAGAGTTTATGAGAAGAGAAGGAAACTTTAATTCACCTTCAATACTATTTAAAAATGTAAATGATCGTGTTGCTGCAGCCACAGGAGTATCTAAAAACACTGTCGTCCGCATTTCTGGAGAGAAAAAAAGAATCGATAACCGTGAGATATCGGAATTTGCATCACCAAGAAAAACCATTAAAAAACCAAAAACAGTTAATGATATAGATGAAGTTGCACAAGAATCAAATTTTATTTTTTTATTATTAGATAGCTATTGTTTCTGAGTTGTGTTCATTTACAGGCTCAATTTTTTTCCGTTTCTCCTTTTTGATTTTATATGGGGTTTCAAGTTGTTTTTGACTTATTTCGACGTAAATCACAACAACACACTTTTTTAATAAAGCAAACAAGTGTTAAG